CCCCAGCGTTAGTATACTTTCTCATTTGCTGGGTGGCAGTTAGGAAGAGAATAAAATACAATAGAGAGGAACTCAGTATTATTATGACTATAAAGCAGTAATTTAGGGATTGATGTTGTAGTTTGTCTGGAGACAATACTGATGTCACTCTGAAATAATCAGCTTACAATAAGTTATTTCCCATCGACCCAAAAGGCACGTTTTGTCAACCAAAACTGCAAATGACTTATCAGCGACACTGGTGGGTGAGTGTTGTCCAGGTGTGTCCAGTGCTGAGTGAGTGCTCTCCCTCCCAGAGCCCCCCGACCCCCCCGAGCTGGAGGTGAAGGAGGTGAAGGCCCGCAGCATGAACCTGCGCTGGACCCAACGCTTCGACGGCAACAGCATCATCACCAGCTTCGACATCGAGTACAAGAACAAGTCAGGTACAGCGGGACAGCGGTCCTCACACTGCCCTGCGCTGCCACACTGGGGCTGTGTCAGCACTGCCCTGCGCTGTCACACTAGGGCTGTGTCAACACTGCCCTGAGCACACTGGGGCTGTCAGCACTGCCCTGAAGCAAATTGGGGCTGTGTTAACACTGCAGTGAACACACTGGGGCTTAACACTGCCCTGAGCACACTGGGGCTGTCAGCACTGCCCTGAGCACATTTGGGCTGTGTTAACACTGCCCTGAGCACACTGGGGCTGTGTTAACGCTGCAGTGAACACACTGGGGCTTAACACTGCTCTGAGCACATTGGGGCTGTGTTAACACTGCCCTGAGCATACTGGGGCTGTGTTAACAGTGCCCTGAGCACACTGGGGCTATGTCAGCATTGCCCTGAGCACACTGGGGCTGTGTCAACACTGCCCTGAGCACATTGGGGCTGTGTCAGCACTGCCCTGAGCACATTGGGGCTGTGTTAACACTGCCCTGAGCACACTGGGGCTATGTCAGCACTGCCCTGAGCACACTGGGGCTGTGTCAACACTGCCCTGAGCACATTGGGGCAGAGACAGTGGCCCAGTAGAGTTCAGGGCTCCAGCCAGTCCTGTCGCAGGAAGGACCTGGCAGTTGTGGAGGAACGCAAGCAGTAACCACACCATCTTTAATTCAGTATGCAGCATCCAAAGAATCAGAGCCCGTCGTTTGCACTGTAGCTCGCCTGATGCAGGAAGGGAGTGCAAGGCGCTTCCTTGTCTCGCTCATGCCCGCCTCCTCTTCCTGACCCTGTCCCCTGCCCTGGTCTTCCTCCGCCCTCCGCATGTCCCAGGGGGCCTCCCACCCCGACTCATTGGGCCGCCTCTCTCTCTCCCGCAGACTCGTGGGACTTCAAGCACGCCACCCGGAACATCTCCCCCACCATCAACCAGGCCAACATCGTGGAGCTGCACCCGGCGCGGGTCTACAGCATCCGCATGTACTCCTTCAACAAGATCGGCCGCAGCGAGGCCAGCAAGGAGCTGACCATCAGCACCGAGGAGGCAGGTAGGT